TGGCTCACACCTATAATCCCAGCACTTTGGGAAGTGGAGGCGAGAGGATTGCCTGAGCTCAGGGGTTCAAGGCCAGCCTGAGCAACATGGCAACACCTCATCTCTACAGTAAGTTAAAAAATTAGCCAGCATGGTGGCATGCGCCTGTAGTTCTAGCTACTTGGAAGCCTGAGGTGAAAGGATCACCTGGGCCCAGCAGGTCGAGGCTGCAGTGGCCGTGAGCATGCCACTGCACTCCAGCCCAGGCAACAGAATGAGACTCCGACTCCAAAAAAGGAAAGAAAAATCTTTCCCAAACCAACTACAGTCAAAGCTGCTTGCTAACTCCCTCCTGGGAGGACTTGCAAAGCCAGAAGGCCTGTCCTGGAGCCATGCTCCCTGGAAGTAATGGTGCTCAGGGAAGGCTACCAAGTGTGCCTGGGGCTTCTTAAACCAGGAACATCCATGGAAATAGGAGCTAGTACCCCTGAGTCCAGTGAGGCTCAGGCTTTCGGTGGAAGAACTAATGGGAAAAAAATTAGGGGGGTTCAAAATGGGTAGACAGGTGGAGCAGCCCCCAGTGGCGACAGTGTGTGGAGCTGGGGGAGGAAGAGGGCTTATGTGCGCCTGGGCTTCAGCTTCTGGTCCCCATAGAGGATGAGAGCCACCACCTGCCTCTCCAGCTCTAGAGAGAAGGTGAGAGGAAGGGCCGAGAAGCAGCCATGACAAATATTTCCTGTACCAGTCTCCCAGAAGCACCCCTCTACCCCATAGAGCAATGTCAGAAGCCTGCTGTCTTTGCCCTGGGGCAGGACTTGGAGCACTGGGCTGTGCTCCCAAAGTTGGTAGCTCACCTCTGCCACCTCTAGAATGAAAGTGAGATTTCCATTAACAGGTATGAAGAATCTCTGAACATCACCAGCAAATCAGACATGCCCAGCTTCTTTGCATAAGTAATTTATAACTCCTTGAACTGAATCCTAAGACATACAGCATTGCCCTGGTGCAGTGATGCCCATGCTTCCCTGAGAATCACTACTTCCAGGAAACATGCTCCCCTCCCCTCCAGGGACTGAGGAATACTAGGGCAGGTCTCTTCAGGATCCCAGGGATCATAAATATCTCCCTGTCAGCCTGAGACTGGGGAACCAAGAGCTTGGGGGGAGCTCTAACCCCATTCAAAAAGGCCTAGATAGGCTGGTCCTGGGCCAGCTGACTAAGAGCTTCCCCTGGGTCCCAAGTTACTTCCAGCGCCTTGGACCACTGACCTTGGGGGATCTCGCCACTGCCTTGGGCAGTGGGATAAGTCACAAAGCAAGCACCAGCAACTCCTTCACAAGACCCACAGGAACAAAAAAGCTTGCTAGCCGGGCTCGGCGGCTCAGCCTGTAATCCCGCACCTTTGGGAGGCTGAGGTGAGTGGATTGCCTGATCCCGCAGGTTCGAGACCCGCCTGGGCAGTGAGACCTCATCTCTACAATAAATCAAAAAAATCAGCTGGGCGTGGTAGCACATGCCTGTAATTCCGGCTACTTGGAAGGCTGAGGCGGAAGGATCGCCGGAGCCCAGCAGGTCGAGGCTGCGGTGGCCGGGAGTGGCCACTGCACTCCAGTCTGAGCGACAGAGTGAGACTCCAACTCAAAAAAAAAAAAAAAAAAAGCTTGCTGCTGCAGGTGCTGGAGTAGCTGGTAGCCTTGCTGCCCATGGCTGGATCGGGGGCCAGGATAGCCTTATTCTCATCTTCCTTTTGAGAGCTGAGCTGGGGGAATGTCCCACCCATCCTTTAGGAGGAAATTTTCACAAATGTGAAAAGAGCAAAGTTCAGTGCCAAGCTTGTTTAGCACTGACACCAGATGTAATTTGGGGTTTAAATTCTCTAGATTGGTAAGGATCTCTGCCACAGTTCAAGGAAGCCCAAGCCTAAGGAAGATAGGATATGAAAAATTGAGCAGTTACACAAGACTCAGAAATCTAAATGCATGTCAACTCCTTTCATTATTGTAAGAGAGCTCAACATGCCTTCAAAAAGGAAAACTAAAGAAGTATTTCTCTTTAAGGGACTTCCAGAAGTAAATGGCAGAGCATTTATTTTTTTCCTGGGAAAGTTGCTGAGCTGTTATCCCCCTTCAAAGTAAGGAAGCTGGATAGGGCAGAGATTCTTTGAACTGAGGAGGAAGGGGGCTAGACTGGTGACAGGTGTGGTTGAGAACCCTATTGAAAAAATCCCGGAGCGGGGTTTGGTAGCTCAACCTGTAATCCCAGTGCTCTGGGCAACTTGGCGAGACCTCATCTCTACAATAAATCAAAAATTAGCTGGGCGTGGGAGCGCGTGCCTGTAGTTCCAGCTACTTGGAAGGCTGAGGCGGAAGGATCGCTGAAGCCCAGGAGGTCGAGGCTGCAGTGGCCAGAAGCGTGCCTACTGCACTCCAGTCTGGGTGACAGAATGAGACTTCAACTCAAAAAAAGAAAAGTCCCAGGAGGAGAGAAACATCTTCCTCACTGCTTTCTCAAACCAAGTGAGAAAGCCCGGAAAGGTCACAGTAATTTCAGGGTCTAGCCTTCACTAGGAAGACTCAAGGCTAAATCTGGATTTTCCCCCAATGTCTCAAGGTTGGCATAGTAAGGTGAGCCACACTCAGATCTTCCTGGGCTGGAACAAAGGGAGCCTCACCTGGTTCAGGTCTGGGATTCCGCCTCCTCTCAGCAACAAGAGGGCAGGCTTCTGCAGCACCTCTTAGGGCTGAAGAGGGCCTCTGGCTGGGGAGGATGGGCGGGGGCCCAACCAGCAACTGGTCCCCTTCAGCAGTCCTGGGGAGCAAATGTGGGCACGAGGGTGGTGGGAGCAGAGACCCTGGCCTCCCTGGAGGGCCAAGCTGATTCCCGCTCTACTTGGGGTCTTCGCCATGGGCCCGCCCAGTGGGTGTGGAAGGAAATGGTGTGACTTCACTGGAGGAGGATTTCAAGTCCCACCACCAAGCACCCCGAGAGGCCCTTGGTAGAGATTGGTACTGGGGGGAGGGCTGTGTCGGCGAGGAGGCGGCACAGAAGGCCCCTTGGCCTCCGAAAGGGAAAGCAGGGAAAGGTCTCCGGAGCACCTTACCTCCAGACGACAGCAGCAACAGTAAGCCCAGCCTTTGCAGGGGGCTTTGACTCGACTCCTCGGGACGCTCTGCCCCAACCCCACCCCAGGCCCGCCCCTCCTCCCCAAGGAGCCCAGCCCCCCCACCGCCAACGCAGTGGCCAGAGACGCTCTCCGCTCTTCTAAGGTCACCCGAGGGCCCGGAGGATGCTTCCGCAAGGACCAGCCAGTCGGGGCAGGCGTTTCAAATAACATTTACTTCACCATTTGTAAAATGGTTACGAACAAGCAAAACAGGGCGGATGGCCCGGGCTCCTGGATCTCTACTACAAGATGCTGATGGTCAAGACATGTCCTGCCCGAAATCAACCCAATCACACACACCCTGCTGCTCGGCCTTTTACCCAAAAGCCCCGATAAAAACACTTAAAATAATGAACAGCCTGGTTGGCTTGCAGTTTGAATCCTGGTTTATTTAGTAGCATTCAGGAGTCATAGTGTAAACACCATTACGGCTCATGACAGAATTATTCATTATAAATACCAACCAGGTTAAACAATACCAATTTATCCTTCCTCCCTTTGGACTGGGGTTCAGATTCTTCCTTTCCTGGAAGTCATTTTCATGGATAAAATCTTCAGCGTTTTTTGTTACCTCTTTCTTCACCAACAAGACACTCTTCTGTAACTGAATGAGAACCTGAGTCCCTGAAAGCAAGCTCTTTTCCACTCATCCTGGGTTAACCCAAAACTTTTTTTTAACTAGGGTCGTGCTATATTGACCAAGCTGGTCTTGAACACCAGGCCTCAAGCAATTCTCCCACCTTGGCCTCCCAAAGTGCTAGGATTACAGGTGTGAACCACCACACCTGGCCATATCAAAAATTTTTCAGTGAATTTGCCTCCATCCAAGTTTTGCAAAACACCTGCTGCCTCTTCCTGTTCTATGCTTCTAAGACTGGATAACCTCTGACAGGAAATCACCAGCATTTTCCATGCCTTATACACACTTGCTTGCCCACCCTGAAATTTACTGAGACTCCTTTAGAAGTCTGCCTTTCACTTTTCAAATGTTTCTGTCTCCTCCTCTACTGTAAAATAAGGTCTGCCCTGACATTAAGAAAAAAGGTATCTTAAATTTACTTTTCCCTTTAATTACCAGAAGGCTTTTTTCTCCCCTTCTCTGTAGGATTAGCAAAATATTTCAACACTACCTACTTAAATTTTTTCCCTTAAATAAAAATGTATGCAAAATTACAACAACAGCAACAGACATTGCTCAATAGGTGCTGGTGGATTAATTAGCACTCTCTTCCCTCCCCTTTCATTGAAATGTAGAGATAATGGAAGTTGGTTATTCTTTTATTTATTTATTTTTTTTGAGTCAGAGTCTCACTCTGTTGCCTAGGCTGGAGTGCAGAGGCACACTCATGGCACATGTTGACCTGCTGGGCTCCGGCGATCCTTCTACCTCAGCCTTCCAAGTAGCTGGAACTACAGGCACACACCGTGCCTGGCTAATTTTTGATTTATTGTAGAGAGGAGGTCTCGCCAGGTTGTCTGGGCTGGTCTTGAACCCGTGGGCTCAGGCAATTCTCTCGCCTCGGCCTCCCAAAGTGCTGGGATTACAGGCTGAGCCACCTAGCCCAGCCTGAAGTTGGGTATTCTTAAATGCAGCAGTGGAGTCTTCAAAAAGAAATGGAGCCAATTGCTAAGTTTTGCAGAAAAATGACTCTCCCCTTGAGAAAGGAAGATTAGCAACATTTCTATCGTGCTCTGTGTGTCACTTCAATGCCACATAGCTATGAGGCTTGGGGTAGGTAACAAATTATGACAATCTTGAAAACAACTTCCAAGGTTAATTTCTTTTAAAACCTTGACAATAGAGACTTCCATTAAAAGATTCACATTAACAAAGAAAAAAACTTCAATAAAAGAATGGTTCTATAGGAAGTTCAAGTTACACTCTTTAATGCTCTAAAATGAAGGAGTTTTATCCAAGTCAATTGAAAAACTGTCTTCCTACTATTCATCCAAAGACTAAAGTGAAAATTTAAGTTCTGGTCTTTGATTTGCTCCCCAAAATACTGACAGGCAGTGTCTTGATGGGTTCTATATAGATTCATCAGATTAGAAAACAAGCAAGGGCTTCTACTCCACACCCCAATGATAGACTAAAGATCATCTCTGAGCAGCAGGCAGAGTTATTTAATACAAGGTTACTCCTCAATAGCGGTGGCTGTACCAGTCATTGTTGTTGACCTGAAGAAGTTCTGTCACAACCTGCAGGATGTTATAATTGTGTTTCTTCAGCAGCCTTAGGTTCAGCTGCCTGTCACAGAATCCCATTTCAAAGAGATGGGCCATCAGGGCTGCTGTCTGATCTTCAGAAACTACTGGCTGTGCAGAGACAAGAAAGCAGAACATTTTCTGTATAATTTAAATGTTTATCTTACAAATTTTTATCATCTTCTAAGTCATTCTAGTCTTTCCATATTTATTCAAGTTACTAGATAATTAGACCCAATGGTATGGTACTTGTACACCTGATGCCAATGGGTCATCTCAGGGGTATGGACAGGGAAGGCCCTGCTTTACATTAGGCATGTTTGGACCCAAAGGAGGAGACAAGGGAAACCAGGGAACTCATGAATTGTCCTTAGAACTACAATGCTCGAGAGGGAGCTTACGAAAAAGCATTCTTTGGCCAAATGAAGAAATGAAAATAAGCACTCAAGGCCCTGTGAACAAAAAGGTAACTGTGATGATGGGGCAAGTATGAGCAAGATAAGAGGGAACATTAGTGAAAGATAGTGTGGGATATTTGTCACACACAAAGGGGCTAGACAAAAAATCAGCTTAGAAAATTACAACCTAGGAAGCCTCTTGGCTTTGTTTTTTGTTTTGTTTGGGGGGGGGGTTGCCCCTTAAAGAATAGAAGTGGATCAGGTAAGAGAAAGTCAACATTTACTCAAGCCCTGTTGAACACACACTACCTTCCTAAATCTTCCTAATAACCTTGTTCTATTAGCATCCCCATTTCACACACTGGGAACAGTGAAGCTGTGTAGTAGAAAGATTATTGACTTTGGAGGCAGACAGGTCTTGGCTGAAACCCTAATCTACCATTTACTTACCAAACGTGCTGAGTATCAACCCCCTTACTTATGAGATGAAGACAGATCATACCTCCTACTCTGCAGAGTTGTTGAGAAAGTACATAAAGGTGAAAAAAGTAGGGAAACATGTTGAGCAACATATCCGGCATCTCCCTCTACACCAAATTCTACTGCTCCCTTCATCTAAATTTCAGAATAGATTATCCACCCTCCTTTCCAGGTCAATTCTCCCACATGTACCTTGCTTTGTATCTCATTACTTCTCACCACTTCAGAAATCTTGCTCCATTAATTATGCTGCCTTCATCTTTATCGTGTTAACCTCTTCCACTACTGGCTTACCCATCTCAAGTCTCACTCATCTATAAAAATGCTTCCTCTTGCTCTATGCATCCTAGCTTCTGCCTAGTGCCGCCTGGCTATTTGAAAGTGGGCATATTTGCACTCTCAAATTCCTCACCACCCATTCACACTCCTCTGCAGCATACAACATTATTGACCATGTCCTCCTTAAAACATGCTTCCCATAGAACTCACTCCTCATTCTCCTCCTAGTTCTCAGTTTTCTTTGTAGGATACTCCTTTCCCTGATCCTTAGAGACTGCTTTCTGCCTTCCTAATTTTTCCTAGATAATCTCATCCCATCACATGGCTCCTGCTATAATAAGTATACAAGTGACTCTTAAACTTTATTGGCAAGCCAAAACTCTCCCTCTATATCCATGGGTTCCATACCTATGAATTCAACCAACCATGAATTGAAAATATTCAGGAGGAAAAAAAAGGAACATGTACAGACTTTTCTTTCCTGTCTTATTCCCTAAACAAAACAGTATACATAATAGTATAATAAATGCTATTTACATAGCATTTATTAGGTATTACACCCAATAATATATGTATTGTTATAAAATAATACCCATCAGAGAGTATAAGAAATAATACCCATTAGAGAATATAAGAAATAATACCCATTAGAGAGTATAAGAAATCTAGAGATAATTTAAAGTATACGAAATGGGTTGGGCACACTGGCCTACATCTGTAATCCCAATTCTTTGGGAGGCAGAACTGCTTGAGGCCAGGAGTTCAGGACCAGCCTGGGCAACAAAAAATTTTTTAAATTCGCTGAGTGGCTGGGCTTGGTGGCTCAGTCTGTAATCACAGCACTTTGGGAGGCCGAGGCGAGTGGATTGCCTGAACCCGCGGGTTCGATACCCGCCCGGGCAACTTGGCAAGACCTCATCTCTACAATAAATCAAAAAAATTAGCCAGGCATGGTAGCGCACGCCTGTAGTTCCAGCTACTTGGAAGGTTGAGGAGGAAGGATCACCAGAACCCAGTAGGTTGAGGCTGCGGTGGCTGGGAATGTGCCACTGCACTCCAGTCTGGGTGACAATGAGACTCCAACTCGAAAAACAAAAAAAAAAATTTGCTGAGCAAGGTGGCATGCACTTGTAATTCCAGCTACTTGGGAAGCTGGCTGAGGCAGGAGGATCTCTTGAGCCCAGGAGTTTGAGGCCAAAGTGAGTCATGATTGTGCCACTATGTTCCAGACTGGTCAACAGAATAATAGACAGCATCTTGTCTACATATTTGGTCTTTTTTTGAGTTGGAGTCTCACTCTGTCACCCAGACTGGAGTGCAGTGGCCGCTCCCGGTCACCGCATCTTCGACCTGCTGGGTGCTGGTGATCCTTCCGCCTCAGCCTTCCAAGTAGCTGGAACTACAGGCGCGCGCTACCACGCCCAGCTAATTTTTGATTTTATTGTAGAGATGAGGTCTCACCAAGTTGCCCAGGTGGGTCTCGAACCCGTGGGCTCAGGCAATCCACTCACCTCAGCCTCCCAAAGTGCTGGGATTACAGGCTGAGCCACAGAGCCCGGCTTGGTCTTTTCTTATTCTTCTCCTCCAACCAGATTTTGGGGGGGGGGAGGGGTGTTGAAGTCTCACCCTTGTTGCCTAGGCTGGAGTGCAGTGGCATGCTCATGGCCACTACAGACTCAACCTGCTGGGTTTGGGCAATCCTTCTGCCTCAGCCTTCCAAGTAGCTGGAACTACAGCCGCACACCACTATGCCCAGCTACTTTTTTTATTTTGTGATTTATTGTAGAGATGAGGTCTCACCAAGTTGCCCAGGCTGGTCTCGAATCCCCGGGCTCAGGCAATTCTCTCGGCCTCCCAAAGTGCTGGGATTACAAGCTGAGCCACCGCATGCAGCCGAAACCCTATCTTAAAAAAACTAAAGCATACAAGATGATATACATAGGTTATATGCAAATAGTACACTGTTTTATATAAGGGCCTTGAGTATCTATGGGTTTTAGTATCTATGGGGAGTCCTGGTTACCCAGAGACAACTATATACCCAACTGCACTCCAGGTTATATTTACTTTTATCTGGATATGCCTCAAACCCAACACTGTCCAACAACACTGATCTAATTTTCTTCTACTACTCAAATTCATCCTTCTCCAGCATGTTCCATCTTAATGAATGGTACTGATTGCCTAAAACAGAAACTTATCCATGACTTCTTTTTAGCCACTTAATCATGGGCTCCAAGTTTTGCCATTTCTATCTCTTAATTAGCTCTTCTACCCTTACTTTTCACCAATGGATTCTCATAGGGGTTTCTTTACTGGCTCTACCAGCCTCTACCCTGTAGCATTTGATCTTACTAAAAACAAACCTGATCATGTTAACCACTTCCTTAAAACCTTTCCATAGCTAGGCCCAGTGGCTCATGCCTATAATCCCAACTCTTTGGGAGGCCAAACCAAGAGGACTGCCTGAGCCCAGGGGTTCAAGACCAGCCTGGTCAACTTGACTAGACCTTGTCTCTACAACAAATCAACAAATTAGCAGGCGTGGTGTTATGTGCCTGTAGTTACAGCTACTTGGAAGGCTGAGGCGGAAAGATTCCCTGAGCCCAGCAGGTTGAGACTCTGGTGGCTGTGAATATGCCATGGCACTCCAGCCTGGGCAACAGCGAGACTCTGACTCAAAAACAAAACAAAACCCTTCCATGGAAGACCTTAAAATAAAATCCAAATTCCTTAACACAGCATCTTGTCTACATATTTGGTCTTTTTTTGAGTTGGAGTCTCACTCTGTCACCCAGACTGGAGTGCAGTGGCCGCTCCCGGTCACCGCATCTTCGACCTGCTGGGTGCTGGTGATCCTTCCGCCTCAGCCTTCCAAGTAGCTGGAACTACAGGCGCGCGCTACCATGCCCAGCTAATTTTTTATTTTATTGTAGAGATGAGGTCTCACCAAGTTGCCCAGGTGGGTCTCGAACCCGTGGGCTCAGGCAATCCACTCACCTCAGCCTCCCAAAGTGCTGGGATTACAGGCTGAGCCACAGAGCCCGGCTTGGTCTTTTCTTATTCTCCTCCTCCAACCAGATTCACACACTATTTCCAAGTCTTTTTACTGGCTACTCTGTCTACAATGCCTCCTTTTTTTTTTGAGTTGGAGTCTCACTCTGTCGCCCAGACTGAAGTACAGTGGCACACTCATGGCCACCCCAGCATCAACCTGCTAGGCTTGGGCAATCCTTCCACCTCAGCCTTCCAAGTAGCTGGAACTACAAGCATGTGCTACCACGCCCAGCTGATTTTTTAATTTATTGTAGAGACGAGGTCTCACCAAGATGCCCGGGCTGGTCTTGATCCTGTGAGCTCAGGCAATTCACTCGCCTCAGCCTCACAAAGTGCTGTGATTATAGGCTGAGCCACCGAGCCCAGTCTCCTTTATTTTTAAATTTAAAAAATGGATCAGTAAGACTGCCAGAATACAATGCCCTTTCTGGCCTTCCTTCCTGGTGAACACTTACTTTGTCCTTTAGGACTCAGCTCAGGCATCATCTACCAGGAAGCTTTCCTTGGTCCCACCAAACTGAGACATTCCATCTGTCTGACAGCACTGGCATGTGCTGGTATCATGGTACCACATGGCATCTTCCCTATAACTGTGTCTGTGTACCTCTCTTGTTTCCCATAGTCTTTGGGTAGGACCTGATGTCTTACTCATGTTGTAGTGCCAATACCTGGAATAGCTTTTCTCTACAGAAAGTAGGTGCTCAACAAACATTAGGTACTTCTCCTTTCCTCCCTTAAGTAACTTGGCTAGAGTTATACAGCTAAAAAGTGGCAAAACTGTGGGTTATCTAAAGTTCATACTCTTTCTACAATGCCATGTTCTTCTCCAACACAGACAAGAGGCCACTGCTTTCACTGTGACCTTGAGTTGAGGGTCAGAAAAATAAAACACACACTGACCTGTGCAATGACTGGGGGCCCAGCAAATAGGGCCTTGTATGCAGAGGCAGCCACAGACAAAGCCCCCTTCACCAGTCCTCCAGCAATGCTGCTCCCGTGGTGGTGCCTGTAGAGGAAATCCAGATTATCTCCCCAAACACAACTATCACCTTCTTACAAGACAATCTGGGCTCTAATCCTTGAAAGAAAATGAGATCTCCTTAAGAGAAAAAAAGCAGATGTAAAATGAGAATGTGACTCCTTTCGTATCACTTTTACAGCTACAGATCATGGTTTGATGGAGGGCCCATCTCTACTGGTGCAAGATATGGGCACTGCAGGAAACACACCACTCTGGTTACATGACAGCTTTCAATCCTAGATGAAAATAATCCTGGTCGAGGGCACCCCAGGATATCAACAGTCTGTCTTGCTCAATTATTATCTTAGAGAAAACACTTCTCAATGGAAATGTGATTTTTCTGGACACTGTTTTGAGGAGCAGAGAGGCAGCTAAGAAAAAATTACTCAGGTATACACTGGGCTTGACCTTCCTGCCTCCTCCTCTGGCATTAAGGGTATGGTGAATTTGAGGGAACTCCTTTCTTATCTGGAATGTGAATACTCTTAAATATCAGCTTTAGCCCTTTGTTCAGTGTGTTGCTCAAAAGATTTAGAAGAAATAAGAAGGAATGAGGGCTCTTCCTCTCTACTCTCTGAAGACGAGGACATGCTCTGAGAGGCTCTTTTAAGCAGAAGCAATACTAGGATTATCTACCTGCTTCTGAAAAAGAGACTGCACAAGGTTATTACCTTGAATGGTCATAGCTCTTCTGTCTGCTGTTTACAAGTCCTGATGAGCCTCTGGGCTCTAAAAGCAAAAGAGCTGTTGGTTAGATGCAGCATCCATAAGCACCTAGTGTCTCCTAACTCACAGCAAAGCTATTATTGAGACAGGTGACAATATGATCACAATGTTTGAAATCTTTTAAAACAAGTATTTGGGAAGTTTTGCAGATAGTTTAAGTGGTAAGGAGGAACTGTCCAGAAATGCAATGCAAGATGACTGCTTATTGAACAGAAAAATCAACTGTATAATCCCATCACAGAGATATAGTTTATAGATAAGAAAACAGTCTCACAGGCATCATAAACCTGCTGAATTGCTAGTCAGGAAATGTGGAGATGGGGCTAGAACCTAGACTGGTTTGGCTCCAAAACCTGTGTTCTTTCTACTATAGCACAATGCCTACCTCTATGAGGTCTTACTTAAATATTTAGCCAGAGAACAGAGTAAGAATTTGAAGGAGGAGCAAAGAATGGAAGGCCAAGTTTCTAAAAACTGCCGAGAATCACAAAGATAGAGAGCCTATTTATACCTGGCTTCCATTAGAAAAGAGCAAGGAAAAACAGATAAAGCTCAGGCTTGTCATTACCTCCTCTGATCTGATCAGGGACTGAAGAAACTTCTGGTATGGTAATTGGTAAATCCACTCCTGGGGAACCATGATGCTGTACACAAGGAGGACTCCTTTCAGAAAGACACAATATGGAAAATAAGTTGAAGAGGCACCTATGGCAATGGTGGAGAAACAGTAAACATAACACAATAAGTGCCAAATTCTCTACAGAAGCTTCACATTTCTGATTCAGATCACATGTCTGAATTTAGGGTTCCACCAGAAGAGCTACATTCTACTCCTGGTTTTCTTGATTTGCCACAGCGAAGCTAGAATGCTATCTTCAGTCTGGTCATATCCCTTCCTCCCCTACATCAAGTGGTGTCGATAAAGGGAAATATCTAGCTTTCTGAGAGAATATAGTCAAGGCTCCAGAATTTTCCATACTATTAGGAGAGAGTGATGACTCAGATTGACTCATCAGAGAATTAAAAATAATTTTCAAGGCTGGGTGCATTGGCTCAGGCCTGTAATCCCAACATTTTGGGAGGCAGAGGTAAGAGGATTGCCTGAGTTCAGGGGTTTGATACAAGCCTGGGCAACTTGACTAGACCTCATCTCTACAAGAAAAAAAAAATAAGCTGGGCATGATGGCATGCACCTGTAGTTGCAGCTACTTGGAAGGCTAAGGCAAAGGATCACTTGAGCCTAGCAGGTAGAGGCTGTGGTAGCCATGAGCATGCCATTGCACTCCAGCCTGGGTGACAGAGTGAGACTCCAACTAAAAAAAAAATAGTAATAATTTCTATCTGGTTTTATAGTGTTTTATCCCACAATGGGTCTAACTTCCTATTTATGCTTTCTTTGAGTTAATATGAATTTTTGCTACCTTTACCTAAGAACCAATAGAACAAAGAGGGAGGGTCCAAGGATGTTTGTGCTTAAAAACTGGCTCTCAGTAATCAAAAGATCATTAGAAGTAGACAGACTACACGCAATTAATTAAGATTGACTAGTCGGGCTTGGTGGCTCAGCCTGTAATCCTGCACTTTGGGAGGCTGAGGTGAGTGGATTGCCTAAGCCCGCAGATTCAAGACCCGCCTGGGCAACTTGGCGCGACCTCATCTCTACAATAAATCAAAAAATTAGCCGGGTGTGGTAGCGCGTGCCTGTAGTTCCAGCTACTTGGAAGGCTGAGGCGGAAGGATCGCTGGAGCCCAGCAGGTCGAGGCTGTGGTGGCCGGGAGCAGCCACTGCACTCTAGTCTGAGCGACGGAGACCTCATCTCTACAATAAATCAAAAATTAGCCGGGCATGGTAGTGCGCGCCTGTAGTTCCAGCTACTTGGAAGGCTGAAGCGGAAGGATCGCCAGAGCCCAGCAGGTCGAGACTGCGGTGGCCGGGAGCGTGCCACTGCACTCGTCTGGGCAACAGAGTGAGACTCCAACTCAAAAAAAAAAAAAAAATTAAGATTGACTAAAATTAGTATTTCTTTAATTCCAGAATCCACAAACACCAGGAAATACAACTTTTATTCATCTAACTTCAGACTTTACTATGGAAAATAGTCTCTTCCTGTGCTGATGAAAACACAGGTTTTGAGATCAAGTTGTTTCCTCTCGCTCTTTATTTCAACTCTGAGTAACACCCAAGATGAGAGGGGTGTGGATGGTACCTGGGCAGTGGTGGTAGGAGCCCCACCACCTCTGGGATTAGGGGCGCTGTTTCCAGAGTCTGTGAGGTCATGAGGATGTCATTGATGCTGTGCTCATGTGGCTGTTTCTCCCCTCCAGGGAGTCTCTCCCCAGCCTCTGCTGGTTCCTGCCCAGCCTCAACTCTAGGCTCGCCTTCAGCCACTTGCTCCAGGCCTGGCTGTGAGAGTGCAGAACTGTACATGGAGTCTCCCAGGGGGCGGCTGGTATCAAAGCACTCAGGAAGGATGATGATATAATCCTCTGAGGAAGCAGAAGATTGACTCTGAACTTCATCTTTGAGCTCATCCTCCTCTTCCTCCTCCTCCATGACGACTTCTTCCTCAGCAACATGGACAATCTCCTCCCTCGCATCTCCAAGTGGTCCCGCTTCAGGCAAGGCAAATTTCACTGAAGGATGAAAGCAACCAATTTTAAGATACAAGCTAAAAGCAGCCCCAGTACTATTCTTAGTGGTAAAGCCCCGTGGGATCATGAGCCAGAATTATGAAAGACAGAGAGGGACAAATCAAAGGGAAGAGCTACTGCTGGAGCTATGTCTGTATTCTAAGTTTGAAAACTATGCAAAACCAAACAGAAAAAAACATAGGCAGAAACACCCAGGCTTCCAAGAAGCACTATGAATCTTGAAACGAGAAAGCTTCATCCCTTCTCTTTTCTTCTTTATATAATGGTTAATATACTGAGATAGGGTTTACATCAAAACTGACCTTCCAGCTAACTGTGCTATAAAGAGAGAAAAAGTTAGGTGGTGAGAACTGCAGGACTGTATGCCTACTTTCCTCCTCATCTTTACAAGAGTGATGCAGTCATGGGAGGAAATTGGCAAATCATGGATGGGGGGGGGGAAGGATATAAAAAGGGTACCTGTGAGTCCTATAAGAGTAATATCTGTGAACATTTTGATCTAATCCTGCTGGGCCTTTCTGCTATGCATTTGTACAAATGTATGAAAAATAATACAGACGTACATACATGCTTTAACAGAAGTGAGACAAATCATACACACACACACACATACACGATTATATATATATATATATATATATAAATTTTGAGTCGGAGTCTCACTCTGTCACCCAGGCTGGAGTGCAGTGACGCTCACGGCCACCCCAGCGTCGACCTGCTAAGGCTCAGGCAATCCTTTTGCCTCAGTCTTCCAAGCAGCTGGAACCACAAGTGCGTGCTATGCCTGGCTAATTTTTGATTTATTGTAGAGATGAAGTCTCGCCAAGTTGCCCAGGCTGTTCTTGACCGTGGGCTCAGGCAATTCTCTCACCTCAGCCTTCCAAAGTGCTGGGATTAAAGACCTGAGCTACCATGCTGACCTTTTTTTTTTTTCTGAGTTGGAGTCTCACTCTGTTGTCAAGGCTGGAGTGCAATGGCATGCTCATGGCCTCAACCTGCTGGGCTCAGGTGATCCTTCCACGTCAGTCTTCCAAGTAGCTGGAACTACAGGCATGTGCCACCGCGCCCAGCTAATTTTTTTGATTTGAGGTGAGGTATCACCAAGTTGCCCAGACTGGTCTAGAACCCATGGGCTCAAGTAATCCTCTCACCTTGGCCTCCCAAAGTACTGGGATTATAGGTGTGAGCCACTTTGCCCGGCAGAGACAAATCATATTTGAAGGTATGAGTCAAATCTCACTACAATAAATATACAGATTCTCCCATATTATTTTTCTGCAGTAGAATTTCAACTTTTGGATAGTTTTTGAAATATATGGTATTGGTTCTACCTGTCTTATATCCAGAAGTTTGTTATACAAGTATTTATTACAGCAGAATTTAACCTTGAGAAATTGAGTTTAGTATTCCTGCTTCTACCCATTATTTCTGGGACTGTTGCCCTTAAAGAAAGCAGACAACTCAGCTGCCAATGGGGGGAGAGGTCTCTCTGCTGAGGCGCTCTGTCAATTTACAGGAAGATTCCTTACTACAGAATCCAGGCAGCATAACTGGATGCTGTTCCAATGTGGAATGCAGCTGTAATTCTGCCCCTAAGAAGGTGCAGAAATAAGTATGGTGGCTTCTTCGCTCCTGAAGTTCTAAGTAGAACACTTAGGCAGCACATATAGCGCCTAAAGACACAGACACGATCAGAATTTCCAACAAAAAGATCACTCTCCCTCCACTCTCAGTGAAGAAGAGCACTTATAACTAGTCAAGCCTGGCAACACAATTCAGGTGCCACCCTGCTAGGTGGGGCAAATACAGGGGCACTCACTCTGCAGGGACTTGTGTCTGCAAGGTGGGTTGTGATCTGGGGCAGCATCCAAGGTAAGGGATCGGATTACTGTCTCACACACAAACTGGGTCCCGCTCAGGTCTTCCTCTGCTTCTTCCACGGAAGCAAGGTTCTCAGTCTTCCTCTTTACTGACACCATGGAATCTAAAAGAGATAAGAGCTTCGTCTGCACCTGGTGTTTAAAGTGCCGAAGAGTTTTCACCAGTCATGACTCATGGTGAGACCAGGTCAAGGAACAGCGGCTACTGTGCCATATGAAGGAGGGGAGACTTCAAGAAATGAGGCGCTACAGAAAACCCACTTACGTGCTAAGGTAAGGTTAGTAGGGGATAGGTGTAAACAATGAGGTGTGGTATGCAAAATACAAATAGTACATCCCTTACCAGGAAGTGCTTTAAATCCCATCCCTTCACTTTCTTCCTGTATCTGCCCCAAGCCTGGCTTCTCTAGTAAAGGACTGTCATGTGGCAGAGGAGACATGCAGGGAGTCATATCTGGAGAATGAAAACAGGAAACCATCAATGGAGAAAAATTATCATATCATCAACAGTCAGTATCCAGAATAGCAGTTCATAGGCTTCTTGCCTCCTGCAGGGCTAAAATAAACCCAGGTATGCTTCCATGCCTGCTGTAGAGAATTTTTCCAGACCACTAGGCGTGCAAGTATCTCAGATGAAGCAATCAATGCAGGAAGGATCACAAACAATTATTTGGCCTTGAAGGCTATGGCCAAGACACAAAACCATGAATGGAACAAAGGGACACAAGGTTTAGAGAAAAATAGAGAAGAGGGTCCCTCATGGCAAGGAAGCCTTGTACTAACCTGTATTTTGACAGAAAACAGAAAAAGGAAAATGGACCCAGCTTTACTATCTCACTGTGGGAAATCCCTGCCATCTATTTCCTCAGAATAAAACACTAACTACCAGAGTCTAATCTGTGGTACATTTGTACTTGTTAATAAAATAAACCAGATGAACTATGTGACATTCTTACCCACAGGGGTGTTGTGGGGTACTCTCTCCAACTCTTGGACAATGTTTATATCCAACAGCTCAAAGGACAGCAGGTCCTGGAAAAAAAAATGGGCAATGTTAGGCTGTTTGCAGTGCATGATGGAGCCATGTTTTGTCTTCATGGGACCTGCAGGCCATTTTCACATCCGTGGATTCAACTGTCCAAATCCAAATCCATACTTCTCCTTAGTCAATTGAAAAATAATAAGAGTAGAATGAGAACTGAATGTTAAAATAACCAAATAGAAAGAAGGAGAAAACACAGTAGGTGTGAAGGTGAATCAGGTAAGTTAAGTTGAAGAGGCAACTAGAGGGAAATCATAGGGAAGCACAGGATTGTGTTCCCAATTCAAAGAGCAAACATTAGCTGCTTCATGGGTGAACTCCTTCCATTAAACACATCCAACTGGATCAAAGGGGGCAGATCTCTGACCTACTGGGTCCTACCTATGGCTGGCTATACCATCATTTCTTTCCCAGCATTATCTTTATTCCCGGCCCATCAAAGACCTGAATCTTCTACCTGGGCAGTCAGAAGGTCTACAGATGGGATATAGAGCTCCCTTTCACTGGCAACATTTTTCATCTTCTGTGGTATGCAGTTTCCTGTCCCTTCTGTCTGCTCAGCTACTTCACCAAGCTGGATTTCTTCTTTAGTCAGAAGAAAAACTTCCTATAGAGACAAACCATTGAGACAAATTTTAGGTTCTCAACAGAACTCAATAGACAGGGGGACAATGCCCCCCAAAACAAAAACACTGCTGTACTCTATTTTTTTTTTTTTTTTGAGTTGCAGTCTCACTCTGTCGCCCAGGCTAGAGTGCAATGGCGCACTCACGGCCACCAAAGCCTCGACCTGCTGAGCTCAGGTGATCCTTCCACCTCAGCCTTCCAAGTAGCTGGAACTACAGGCATGTGCCACCATGCTCAGCTAATTTCTGGATTTATTGTAGGGACGAGGTCTCGCCATATTACACAGGCTAGTCTTGAACCCGTGGACTGAGGCGATCCTCTGGCCTCAGCCAACCCAAAGTGCTAGGATTACAGACATGAGCCACTGTGTCCAGCTTTGTACTCTACATTTTTTTTTTAAAAACTGTGCTTTGATATAATCTTAGACTTACAGACAAGTTGGAAAAATAATACAAAGAGTTCACATTTTTATCTCTTCACCCAGCTTCCTCTACCTAGTAACAACAACTTACATAGCCATAGCACAATGGTGAATACTGGGAAACTGACATTGGGTAACTCTAAGTTTAACCAGTAAATATAAGTACTCTAGCCGGGCTCGGTGGCTCAGTCTATAATCCCGCGCCTTTGGGAGGTTGAGGTGAGTGGATTGCCTGAGCCCGCGGGTTCGAGACCCGCCTGGGCAGCGAGACCTCATCTCTACAATAAATCAAAAAATCAGCCGGGCGTGGTAGCGCATGTCTATAATTCCGGCTACTTGGAAGGCTGAGGCGGAAGGATCGCCGGAGCCCAGCAGGTCGAGGCTGCGGTGGCCGGGAGCGGCCACTGCACTCTAGTCTGGGCAACAGAATGAGACTCCAACTCAAAAAAAAAAAAAAATTTAAGCACTCTGTCCCACTAATACAGGGAAATAAGAGGCAACCCCTTTGGGTGCCCTCCCACTGTGGGAGTTTTTCTGTCCTCTCAATAAATCCTGCTTTCTAGGAAAAAAAAAAACTCAAGTTTTTTGGTTTTTTTTTTTAGTTGGAGTCTCACTCTGTCACCCAGACTGGAGTACAGTGGCCACTCCGGGCCACCGCAGCCTCGACCTGCTGGGCTCTGACAATCCTTCCACCTCAGCCTTCCAAGTAGCTAGAACTATAGGCGTGCGCTACCACATCCAGCTAATTTTTGATTTATTGTAGAGATAAGGTCTCACTAAGTTGCCCAGGCGGGTCTCAAACCCACGGGCTCAGGCAATCCACTTACCTTGGCCTCCCAAAGCACTGGGATTACAGGCTGAACCACTGAGCCCGGCACAAACTCTAAGTTTAAGCAGTATAATATTTAGTCACTCTGTCCCACTAATATGGGAAAATTACATTAAAGAACTGTGCACTAATCAGCCGGGCGTGGTAGCGCATGCCTGTAATTCTGGCCACTTGAAAGGCTGAGGCGGAAGGATCGCCGGAGCCCAGAAGGTTGAGGCTGCGGTGGCCGGGAGCGGCGACGGCACTCCAGTCTGGGCAACAGAGGGAGACTCCAACTCTAAAAAAAACCCAAAAAACTGCGCACTAAGTAGCAACCAGGGCAAGACTTCATTTGTATTTAAGGAACATGAGTATTTCAGGAGAGATGAACATTAAGGGGCAAAGATATCAGTTCAGCAGTTCCACAGGCCAGGCTAAGCAGTCCCACTTTCCCTCGTGCAGCCAAGAGGCTAACCAAGCATCACTGATATGAACGCATTCAGGTACTGTCAGCAAAAGACCTTAAAGACACTTAAAAAAAGCCCCCGGGGACTAAGCCAAATATAAACATATTTGGCATACAAAATATATTAAAAATATAAACATATAAGCATATAAATGTGTCAGGATTTCTAGAAGAATGATCTTTCATGATTTCTAGAAGAATGACCAGCTATTAGAAGATTCTTTGAGTTTTAGTCAGACCCTTCCTAGCTCTGAGGGATGCTGGGTCAAAGTCTGTCAATGCTCACCTCTTGCTTGCAGTTGAGATCATCAGCTTTGCTGGAGCTGATCATGCCCTTTGCAGTGTTATCAGGGCTCTCTTCAGAGGGGAAAGGATCCACTATGATACTGCACCAGACCCGAGGTCCAAACTTCTGGCCTTTGTGAGAAAGACGCCAATGAGAAGTGTATGTTCCCTCCAAGGTGGGAGCGATGAACTCCACAGACACAACTCCCACATGGCCAGCCTTAAGGCAGGGAACCAAAACATTCTTCTTTTCTGTAGAAGCCAAAGTCAGGTTGCCCCACATGAACTTGAGCTGAAAAGAACAGTGACAACGAAAGCAGGCTTGTCAGTTTAGCACTCTGCTCAAATCACCTTATCTTCACCCTTTGTGAGAAAAATTACCTTAGTGTCTGCACTCCACTTTACATTTCCTGTATTTTTCATCCTCCAGTGTTTGATAAACTTGGTTCCTGGCTGAAGGTGAGTCCCATCAGGCAAATTCTCATCCACAAATGCTGCACTGAGCATTGGCATAACTGAGGCACAGGGCTGCAAAGGGAGCCTGAACAGAAATTCAGATGCTTAGTCACTTGCTGTTGGATGTGATGGTTTCTGAATATCATCACCGTAGCTTGAGAGGCTGACTGTTACTCTTAAGATTGTACTAGCAGCCGGGCTCGGTGGCTCAGCCTATAATCCTAGCGCTTTGGGAGGCTGAGGTGAGATTGCCTGAGCCCACGGGTTTGAGACCTGCCTGGGCAACTTGGCATGACCTCATCTCTACAATAAATCAAAAAGTTAGCCGGGCGTGGTAGCACGCGCCTGTAGTTCCAGCTACTTGGAAGGCTGAGGCAGAAGGATCGCCAGAGCCCAGCAGGTCAAGGCTGCAGTGGCCGGGAGCAGCCACTGCACGCCAGTTTAGGTGACGGAGTGAGACTCCAACTCAAAAAAAAAAAAAAAAAAGATTGTACTAGCACATCTGCCTTAAAAGTAATAGTAGGCCATTGCTTTGCTAGACTCCGGTGTGGCCATGTGCTCTCTGAGCTACAGCTGTCGCCATGCTTCCTGGCTTTGGCCCCCTCCTCCACCTTGGGGAGGTGAATCTTCTCTATCCCTTCTCTTTCTCTCCCTAATTTACTTTTAAATAAACTTTATTTTTTGGGCTGGGTTCGGTGGCTCAGCCTGTAATCCCGTGCTTTGGGAAGCTGAGGTGAGTGGATTGCCTGAGCCCACGGGTTCAAGACCCACCTGGGCAACTTATCTCTACAATAAATCAAAAATGAGCCGGGCGTGGTAGCGCACGCCTCTAGTTCCAGCTACTCGGAAGGCTGAGGCGGAAGGATCGCCAGAGCCCAGCAGGTTGAGGCTGCGGTGGCCGGGAGCATGCCATTGCACTCCAGTCTGGGCAACAGAGTGAGACTCCAACTCAAAAAAAAAAACTATATTTTTTGATCTAAAAAAAATACTCCTAGTAATATTCAAGAAAATAGGATATGACACAGTGGTTCAAACCTGTAATCCCAATGCTTTGGGAGGCTGAGGGAGGAGGATTGCTTGAGCCCAGGAGTTTGAGACCAACCTAGGCAACAAAGCGAAATCTCATTTCTACAAATAAAATAAAATAAATAATAAAAACAAAAAAATTTAAAAATTAGCTACGCATTGCTGTACATGCCTGTAGTTCCAGCTACTCAAGAGGCTAAGGCAGAAGGATGGCCTAAGCCCAGGAGGTCGAGGCTGCAGTGAGCTATGATAGTGCCACTGTACTCCAGTGTGGGTAACAGAAAGACCCCCAACTCAAAAATAAACAAATAAATAAAGGAAAGAGAGGGCAGTTAGGACCATGTATTAGAAACAATAGCTTTTCTCTCTGACAAACTTAAAATAATAATAATAATGTAAAAATAATAAAATAATAATAAAAATACAAAAACAAAATAGAGGCTGACTCCTGAGCTAAAAAGTCATATCAAGGATAATTAAAAGGGCCTATAAACACAACCCCTAGAGAGTCAGGCTCTTAAAACATTTGCTCCTTTTGGTCAGCCCCTTCGAGTCCCCTCTCACTGTGGGAGCTTCTCTGTTCTCTCAGTAACTACTGCTTTAAACAAAACAAAATAAAACTTTTGCTTCAAATCTAGATACCTCCAAGGAAGAGAGGTCAAAACCACTTCACAGTTCCAAACCTTAGTAGACTCTACCTTTCTGAAGAAGGCAATAAAGCAAGTGTTAAAAATAACTACTAAACCACCCTTTAATAAAACTAGGAACAATGGGAAGTTTTAAGGCTTTGAGTGTTAAGGGTTGACAATAATTAAGAAAGCAGTTGGTTAAAGTTACAGTTTCAGAGAGACAGACCTCAAGCCTTGGTTCCCACCCCGGTCCTAGGCTTACATCAGGGCGTTAGACTGAGGCAAGCTTTCAGGTCGGCCCAAAGGAGACTTGAGGCTCTGGAGTCCATGGATCGAATTCCACAGATAGATCTTCTTGTGGAGTTTAAGCTGCTTTTTAAGTTCCTTGACTTCTGCTTTACGCTGTTTCTTCTCAGCTCGCAACCTTTGCTTTTCTGCTTTAATAAAGTTCTTATCAACCTGTTTCTGAAGCCTGTGAGATAATAAATGAAAGCCTTTTTTTTAAAAAGCCCTCACAAATTCTGAAGCTACTTGGAGCCAAGTACAGGCTCCGTCAGTATCACCTTCTTGCTTAGTTTCTTAATTTCTTCTTACAGTTACCATTTCATTAGGTTTAGAGAACTGTCTTCATGACTGCACATCACTTGAAAATGAACAGAACTAAGAAGACTATCTGCAGCTTCACAACACCCAAAAGTCAACCAGAGAGCAAGCACCCCCACGCGATGGTTTTACCTGACTTGCTCCAGAGCAGCAGGAAGACGAGGAGCAGAGCACTTTGAGTGAGAGACTGGTTCAGAGGAACCCACAACAGGTCTCCGCAACTTCAGCAGGACGTGGTTAATGTCATGGGCATATGGCCCTGCCTCACAATCTTCACAGATATTGTAGGATGGGCACAGGCTGTGAGGAAAGAATGGCACAGGATAGAATGGCAGAGGAGGAAGTACCCAGGGTAGGGGGATTAAGAACAGACATCTGTATTTGCTCCAGTACCAGCTAGCTGGCAATCTGAGCTTGTCGCCGGACCATGGCATGTCTCAATTTTCCTCATTAATAAATGAGGATAATACTTAATCCATACTCCTTTCCAAGAACAATCTATGGGAAGAAGCAAGATATAAAAGCATTTTGAACAAGGGGCTACCTTTAGTGATCTAATTTTTTTTTCCTTTTTGAAATAGGGTCTTGATCTGTTGCCCAGGCTGGAGCACAGTGGTATGATCATGGCTCACTGCAGGCTCAAATTCCTGGGTTCAAGCAAGTCTCCTGCCTCAGCCTTATAAGTAGTTGGAACTACAGGTGCACCCTATCACACCTGGCTAATTTTGTATTTTTTGTAGAGATGGGGGTCTCACAATGTTGCCCGGGCTGGTTCAAACTCCTAGCCTCAAGTAATCCTCCCACCTCAGCCTCAAAAAGCATTGGGATTACATTCACAAGGCAACACATCTGGCCCCTTAATGATTTCATTTTGTTTTGGATAACACAATTTTGCCTGGCTCTGCTACTCCAAACATACATGTGAACACAACACCCACAAAATATGTTGGCAGAGTGGCTTGTGCTTCTAGTCCAGAGCTACTATATCTAATGCTCAGAGACAAAGCACACCAACTTCCCTTTAGCTACCCAGAATGCCAGGAAGGTGACTACTCCACAATCTACCAATAGCTAGCTATTCCCAAGAGACCGCTTACCTACACTGGTAGCGCGCACCTACAATCCTATTTTGGCAGTTGCTGCAAGCAATATGCCAGGTGAACTTGGTTTCTGGCAAAAACAGTGTTTCCTCTGAAATAGGCATTGAGACTTCTGAGGGACAAGAATCCAAGGATGGGTTCTGGAGGACAAGCTTCTCACGTAATTTCTGTTCAAGCTTCTCAACCGTTTCCTTAACCACTTGCTCTCTGAACTAGAATAGAGAAGATGGGAAGAAAATTCAGTTCCAATATTGGAAAAAAGTGTGAAGATTATCAATAGACCTGAAACCTCACTGTCTCTGACATTACATAAAATCAAAATATACAACAAACAGCTACTGAATGTATGGACAGAAACACAGCAAAAGGTCTATTCCTTCCACAGCTAAACTGGTTCAAAGAAAATACCAAGAAATCCTTCTGATGAGTGCCTAACTTCTTCCTTCTCAAGCACAGAGATTTTGTCCCTCTCCCTTCCATGCTTAGAATTAGACTTTCTCATTACAAAAATTAGAGCTTTCTTGGTTGGAACTGCTCTATGTTTAGAAATTATCAGCCACTAATCTTCACCTGCACCTGAGGCAGTAGCCATCTGGGTTCTGCTTTCTGTTTCTTCTACATTCCACCTGAACCACACTGCAGCTAAAACCCAAGCCAGAGAGAATACTCACTATCTCCAGGTAGCTTGTGAACCAGTCTGGGGGCTTGTCTTGAGGCTGGTCTATATTACAGGGAGCAAGTGGAAATGACTGGGAGAAAACACAATCCAAGATGCTAGAGGTTAAAATACTTTTAAAATACTTTTTCTGAAATGTGTTATTTTGAGGTTTCTTTTATCAAATCATACAAGCATATGGTTAAAAGAAGTCACAGTATAAAGGAGTATTAAAGGAAAACAAAATCTCTATCCCACCCTGCTCCCCCTTCTCCAGAAGTAAACCACTGTTACCAGCTTCAAAAAGTCAAGGACAGAGATGCTCACAATAACTCCCAAATCTTTGATGAATATGCAAATCGTACAACAAAGACAATGAGACAAAAGTTTAGAAAATTGGTTAGACTGGTCCATGCTTCATACCTTTGCTGCAGGCTTCTCTGGGGTCTTCATGTCTGATCCCAAGGCTCTCACCAGTGAAGAATAATGTGCAAGAGGCTTCTTCCCAGCAGCAGTTAGTCGTTTTTCTGCTACAACTGGGGGTGAGGCTTCATCAACATGGTGTCCTTCATGGACTTGCATCTGCAGTTGATTTCCCTGTTTAACTGCCATCTGAGAGCACACATTATGAAACAAAAACACATTGTGTGAATTCTCCTTTACCAAATGAAATTTCTAAACGAAAGCATGTGGTAAATTACATTAAAAATGATCAGGATTCATGTAATAGCTTTACTAAATCAAAAAACTTATATAATGTTTATATTCAATCTGCTGTTTCCTTTTTTTTTTTTGAGTTGGAGTCTCACTGTGTCACCCAGGCTGGAGAGCAGTGGCACACTTATGGCCACCATAGCCTTGACCTGCTGGGCTCAGGCAATCCTTCCTCCTCCGGCTTCTACGTAGCTGAAACTACAGGTGCACGCCACCACCCAGCTCATTTTTTTATTTATTGTAGAGACGACATCCCACCAAATTGCCCAGGCTGGTCTTAAACCCCTGGACTCAGGCAATCCTCTTGCCTTGGTCTCCCAACGTACTGGGATTACAGGTTTGAGCCACTGCACCTGGCCTCATTCTAATATTCTAATATTTCTTAGATTTTTTTTTTTTTTTGAGACAGATCTTGTTCTGAACCCTGGCTGGAGTGCAGAGGCATGATCATAGCTCACTGTAACCTCAAACTCGAGTTTAAGTGGTCCTCCTACCTTAGCCTCCTAAGCAGCTAGGACCACAGGTACACACCACCATGCACAAGGTTGTTTTTCTGGGTTTTTTTGAGCTGGAGTCTCACTCTGTTGCCCAGGCTGGAGTGCAGTGGCATGCTCATAGCCACCACAGCATCAACCTGCTGGGCTTAGGCCATCCTTCCATTTCAGCCTTCTAAGTAACTGAAACTACAGGCATGTGCCACCATGCCTGGCTAATTTTGTAATTTATTGTAGAGGTGGGGCTTGTCAAGTTGCCCAGGCTGGTCTCAAATCCCTGGGCTCAGACAATCCTCTCACCTCAATCTCCCAAAGTGCTGGGGTTACAGGCATAAGCCACCACATCTGGCCTTTTTTTTTTTTTTTTAAGAAACAGGTCTCACTATGTTACACAGGCTGGTCTTGAACTTGGTTTTGTTATTAAAACCACAAAAGTATTGTGTTACTTTTTTTTTTTTAATTGGGAGTCTCACTCTTGTCACCCAGGATGGAGCACAGTGGCACATTCATGGCTACCACAGCTACCACAGCCTCAACCTGCTGGTCTTAGGCAATCCTTCTACCTCAGCCTTCCAAGTAGCTGGAACTACAGACGCACGCCACCAAGTCCAGTTAGTTTTTGTGATTTACTGTAGAAACAAGGTCTCACCGAGTTGCCCAGGCTGGTCTCGAACCTGTGGGCTCAAGCAATCCTCTCGCTTCAGCCTCCCAAAGTGCTGGGATTATAGACTGAGCCACTGTGCCTGGCCTTGTGTTACATGACTCCATATAAAGAAAGAAAAAAACCCTATAGAAATAGGTTTTTAGCATAGCAACTTTTCAGATTTTGCATTAACTCGGTTACTATTTTTGTTTAATTGGTTTTTACATAACACTTCACCTATTAACTCTAAACTCAAGTTTCCAATACAAGTTAATTCCAGCTGACAAAACTTAAGAAACTTATAGTTACATCCCATAATGAAACATTTATTTTTCCACCAAGAATAGTATTTTGGAAAGCAAGCTTAAGTGGTCATGTCTTTGTGAACAGCATCTTTCTAAAACTCCTACTTTGACAGCCACCACAGCCTTGGCCTGCTGGCCTCAGCCTTCCAAGTGGCTGAATCTACAGGTGCATGCCACCAGGCCCAGCAAATTTTTAAATTTTTATTGTACAGACGAGTTCTTGCCAAATTGCCAGGCTGGTCTTGAACTCCTGGGCTCAGGCAATTCTCTCATATCTGCCTCCCAAAGTGCTGTGATATCTGTTAATTAGCTTGACTATGGTTATTACTTCACAATGTATATGTACATCAAAACATCACGCCTTAAGTACATGCAGATTTTTTAAAAATTAGTAACTCTTAAAAAAAAGCATTCCATGGCTAAAAAAGTAGCCATCATCACTGATTTAAACATACGGATATATATAACTGGATGATTTATACATTATATTTTCTTACATTTTATTGTAACATTCTATATGGTTATAGAAAATAGAGTGAAGGAGATGAAAAATATAAATGAAAACAGATCGTCCTAGGCTGGGCATGACACTGCACATCTGTAGTCCTAGCTACTTACAAGGCTGAGGCAGGATCACTTGAGCCCAGGAGTTTGAGACTAGCTGGGACAACAGAGCAAGACCCAGTCTCTTAAACAAAAAAAAAAAAAAAAAAGGAAGCACCAAAGTACTGTTCCAGAAAGTTCTTTGTATTTTTTTAAGTTGGAGTCTCACTTCATTGCCCAGGCTAGAATGCAGTGGCACACTCAAGGCTACCCCAGCATCGACTGCTGGGCTCAGGTGATCCTTTCACCTCAGCCTTCTAAGCAGCTGAAACTACAGGTGCGTGCAACCACGCTGGGGTAATTTTTTATTTATTGTAGAGACAAGGTCTTGCCAAGTTGCTCAGGCTGGTCCCGAACCTGTGGGCTCACACAGTCTACTCGCCTCGGCCTCCCAAAGTGCTGGGATTACAGGCTGAGCCACCAAGCCCGGCCTTCTTTGTATTTTTAAATACTAGATCAGTGGAACAATAGCACTAAGGTCAGCAATGAGAATGGGATGATAACTTAATAGGAATTTCCTTTTGCTGAGTAGTATGCCCTGCTCATCACAATATCCCCACAAACAGGTATCACCATGTTTGCCCTTATTAGTTTCCCTATGGTTAATAGAATTCAGGTTTGAATTGTAGTCAATAAATGTTAATAATGAGATAAAATTATCATTACCTTAAGTGCTTCTTCATATTCTCCTAAAAGGACAAAAAATATACAGCGTGATATTTTTTCACTAGCCACAAAGTTTCTATCAAGTGTAGTCAATCTTCAAATGGAATGTACAACATGAATGAAGTCTATAGTTAAATAACAGCACATCGTATTCAGGATTTTTGACAAATAAGTAGATTACAGATGCTTTTGGGGAGGGTGTAGGACATGGCAGAACAGCTATAACGAGATGATGGGTATGTTAAATCTGTTTCACTACAGTAACCGTTGCCACATAGTGTTTCAGTCAACCACATATACGATGGTGGTCCCGTAAAATTATAATGCCTTATTTTTACTATATATTTTATGTCTAGATATACAAATATCACTGTGTCCCAACTGTCTAGCATATTCAGTACAGTAACATGCTCTACATGTTTCTAGGCTAGGAGCAACAGGTTACACCATACAACCTAGGTATGTGGTAGGCTGCACTATCTAGGTTTGTATAAGCACACTATGATGTTCACAAAATAACCTAATGGACCCATGTCACAAGACACATTCCTTTCATTCAGCAACACATGAGATATATGTATCTCACAATATCTGCTGTATACAGATTGACAATACATAATAAATTTTTTAAGAAAGCAAAGTCAATCCTGACTTTTAAGAAAGCTTATGTATAAACAATAAGCAGGTTTTTTGTTGACAAATTCCCTTCTCGTTGCAAACAGAAGCTACTGCAGAACAGCTATCCCTTCCCCCGTTTTCTTTGATAATGGAGTCTTCCAATCATAAAATCTCAACTCAGCTCCCAAACACTAGATGTTGTGCAGTTCAGGACTCAGGAGAGTTCCTGATTGATTTTTTTTTTTTTTTTTTGCATAGGGTCTCACTCTGTTGCTTAGATTGGAGTACAGTAGCATGATCACAGCTTACTACAATCTCAACCATCTTGTTTCAGGTGATCCTTCTTCCTCAGCCTCCCAAGTATCTGGAACAACAGGTGTGCACCACCACGTCATGCTAATTTTCTGCCTTTTTTTTTTACGTTGGAATCTCACTCTGTCACCCAAGCTGAAGTGCAGTGGGACACTCAGGGCCACCACAGCCTCAATCTGCTGGGCTCAGGTGATCCTTCCACCTCAGCCTTCCAAGTAGCCGGAACTACAGGCATGCATCCAGCTAGTTTTTTGGTTTACTGTAGAGATAAGGTTTCACCAAGTTGCTCAGGCTGGTCTCAAACTTGTGCGCTCAGGCAATCCTCTCACCTCAGTCTCCCAAAGTGCTGGGATTATGGGGTGAGCCACCGTGCACAGCCTATTTTCTGTAGAGACGATGTCTTGCTATGTTACCTAGACTAGTCTCAAACTCCTGGACTCAAGAGATCCTCCTGCCTTGGCATTCCAAAGTGCTAGGATTACAGGTGTGAACCATGGAGCCTGGCCTATGACAATATTAATACTATCGTTTCAGCTAGTTAAAATAAGCTTTTAGGGGTTAGCCTGGGAACTTAACTTTCAAGTATAAAATGCAGGAAAAAGCACCCTAAGTGCTGAGCAACCAACCATCTGATAAACTAACTTTTGGAATACCTCTTATTTATAAGTTGTTATTAACACATATGCCAAGTCTGAAACAAACAACACCAGGAGAATAACTTATATGTGGCAAACTGGGAGGCATATCATTTTCAGAAGATTGGCATCTTAAATATGAGAACTTCCCTTTAAAGTCGTTCATAGGGTTCATTCAAAAAACTGCTATACAATAAAAATCCCCTATGTAACTAATGTCCATGAATGAATGAGTGCAATATCAATTTATAGTATACCAAATTTCTAACTCTAAAATGAATATTGCAACAAGGTTTAAGTATAAATGGAAATGCTTCAATGAGCGGACTAAGGATTTTAAATAAACTGAAAGATTCTGTGAGGGACTCACCTTGACTATTGATGGATACCTGTAAAGAAAACAAGCAACAGTGAATTTTAAGTGTATCATCAATTTAGCATTTCTGTTACTAGGGCCAGGCCCATAGGTAAGATGAAAAATCTCAGCTCAGGGTTCAACTTTTCCAGTATCACTTGCTAGTCATTAATAAAAATTAAGAAATGTTATTGATTAACTGTTGCGTCCTTCTTTATTTCAGGTACATCATTAAGAGGCAGCATAATATAGTGGTTAGGAGCTTGGGCTCTGTAGTCAGAGGGTATAGACTGAACCCCTACTCAACTAATACCAAGTTTTTGTGCCTTTGGGCAAGATACTTAACCTCCCCGTACCTCAGTTGCCTCATGGGTAAAATGGACGATAATGTACTTAGTTAATACAATAATATAGTTGTTAGTCTGACACGCTGTAACCACTCAATAAAATTTAGCCATTATATTTTTATTATAAAGGAAAAGGCAGCTTATGCTATATGCGAACTTAAGATCACTATATAGTTTTAAAAGTTATCTCTCAGATATTCTTCAATTCCATCTCAGATCCTTCCAAGTCTTCTTAGAATATATAATTATAAATACATTTAACCATGGCACAAATGAGATCAGCACTACTTTGAACTCTTGAGTCTCACATCATTGGAGAAATAAGATCCCTATTCTGAATACCTAGCAATGGGTACCATCATATACTTTACCTCTTCATTTTCTTCATCCAGGTATTTTATTTGAATAGTGTTCAGATCAAATGAAACTTTTACCTACGAATGAAATACATACATTGTATAATCAAGACATAAAAAATGCAGGTTAAAACAAACACAGACAGGATGGGCATATGTCACCACATAAAATTTAAAAATTGTATAGGGTTAAAAATAGACCACAAACAGATGGGTGTGGTGGCTCATACCTGCAATCCCAGCACCTGTAATCCCAGGTGGAGGTGAAAGGATTACCTGAGCCCAGGGGTTCAAGACCAGCTTGGGCAACTTGGTGAAATCCCATCTCTACAACAAATCAAAAAAATTAACCACGTGTGGTGGTACACACCTGTGGTTCCAACTACTTGGAAGACTGAGGTGGAAGGATCGCCTGAGCCCAGCAGGTCAAGGCTGTGGTTGGCCACAAGCATGACACTGCACTCTACCCTGTGCGACAGAATGAAACTCCAACTCAAAACAAAATCCACAATCAAAAGACAAACAGCAAGCCATCATAACAACACATAACAGAGTTAATACCTACAAAACACAGAAAGTATCAACAAAACTGCTAATGGTAAGATTAACAATCCAGGTAAAAATATACAAGACAGTTCACAGAAAAGGAAATCAGAATGTCTACCAAATCTATGAAAAGACATCCAACCTTCCTGATAGTCAGAACAATAAAAACTAAAGCAACGGGATGCCATCTCATCAGAACAGCAAATGTTTTTTAAAGCAACAATATCCAGTATTGTCAAAAATTCAGGGTACTATCATATATTTCTGTGAGTTGCTACAACTGTTCTGCAAAGCATTTGGCAGTATCAATTAAAATGTAAAATCACATGCCTTGTGACCCACTAATCTCACTTTTTTTTTTTTTAGTTCACTCTGTCACCCAGGCTGGAGTACAGTGGCACGTTGACAGCCACTGCAGCCTAGACCTGCTGGGCTAAGGCGAACCTCTGCCTCAGCCTTCCAAGTAGCTGGAACCAATAGGTGGGCACGACCATGCCCAGCTAATTTTTTGATTTATTGTAAAGATAAGGTCTTGCCAAGTTGTGCAGGCTGGTCTCAAACCCCTGGGCTCAGGCAATCCTCTTGCCTCAGCCTCCCAAATGCTGGAATCACAGGTGTGAGCCACCATGCCAACTAATCTCACTTTTGGATAGGACAGATTTTATCCTACAGAATAGTGCATGAGCCATATGTACAGATAGATATCTTCTGTAGTTAATTTCATAGTGGTAAAAAAAAAAAAAACTGAAAACAATCTTTCACCAAAGGATGGTTAACTAAATTATGGTAAAATACCAATAATACCGTGACTATAGCTTTAAAAATAATGAGCTTTGGCCAGGCATGGTGGATCACGCCTGTAATCCTAGCACTTTGGGAGACCAAGGCTGGAGGACTGCTTGAGCCCAGGAGTTTCAGATCACCCCAGGCAACACAGCAAGACTTCTTTTCTACAAAAACAAAAAAATTAGCTGGTTGTGGTGGCACATCCCTTTAGTTCCAGCTACTCCGAAGGTGACTGAAGGATTACCTGAGCTCAGGAGGTCAAGGCTGTAATGATCTATAGTCATGCCACTGCACTCCAGCCTGCAACAGAGACTCCAACTCAAAAAAAAAAAAGAACATGGATTGCCTGAGCCTGCGGGTTTGAGACCCGCCCAGGTAACTTGGCGAGACCTCATCTCTACAATAAATCAAAAATTAGCCTGGTGTGGTAGCACGCGCCTGTCGTTCCAGCTACTTGGAAGGCTGAGGCGGAAGGATCATCGGAGCCCAGCAGGTCGAGGCTGCGGTGGCCGGGAACGGCCACTGCACTCCAGTCTGAGTGACAGAGTGAGACTCCAACTCAAAAAAAGAAAAGAAAGAATGAGCTTTGATGACTGAGCATTATATCTATAATATATTCTTGAGCAAGAAAAACAAGCTGAAAAAATAATGGTAGTAGTATGATTCTAGTACATATGTGTGAAAATGGAAAATGTGGGTATTACATACAGGGCTGTTTACACTGATTACCCAAATGAGGTGGGAATAGTAGATGTGAGGAGGGGAGAATGGAGGGATGTTTTTCCTTATATATGCTTGGATTGTTTCACTTTTTTAAAATTTTAGTTGGCATTTCACTCTGCTGCCCAGGCTGGAGTGCAGTGGCACACTCATGGCCACCATGGCCTCGACCTGCTGGGCTCAGGCGATCCTTCCACCTCAGCCTTCCAAGTAGCTGGAACTACAGGAATGTGCCACCATGTCTGGCTAATTTTTTAATTTTTATTGTAGAGATGAGGTCTCACCAAGATACCCAGGCTGGTCTCGAACCCATGGGCTCAGGCAATCCTCTCACCTCGGCCTTCAAAAGTGCTGGGATTATAGACATGTGCCACCACGCCTGGTCCTGTTTCACTTCTTATAATGGGCACGTATTACACTTTTATAATTTAAAATTTACAATAAGGAAAAAAGGCAAGCTAATGGCTTGTTTAACTTCTAGAAAAAGAAAGAGAACTGTTTGACTTTCACATCATTTGACAAACAAGATCCAACCTCTTTCTGAATAACCACCTGTCTAGGACAGTCTAAGGAGATGGTTGCTGGAAGGTGGAGGACTAGATTAGATTATCTTCTAAAGTCTCCCCATCATTTCTTTTCCTTTCTAGTTACTGTCAGACATAACCAGGTAAAAGTAGGTTTTTACCAAAGGATTTCAGTAGATAAACACAGTCACACAGGAAGTAAAACATTCACCACAGCAAACCAAATAAAAACAGAAGAGTACAAAGGGCAAACTCAGAGAAGAAAAAGCATTAACAAAAAAACAAAACCAAAAAAAAGATAAGCCTCTGCTAAACACCTATGGGAGTTTTTCCAGTTCAAACTCTGACCTAGCAATAAAAGAAGGCTCATTCAACACAAGTTATATCCTCAGAATAGAAATTATTTCTCTGGGGCTTGGTTGGGGTGGGGACCACATCAATTCATTCCTCATACTGTCTCTAAAATTAATAGGTTTCCTGAGTCTCATCTCACTTAAAAAATAATTTCACTTTCTCTTCCTAAATTATTCAAAGGAAACTTTTTGTTTATTCCCTTTATTGGGGCACATCTCCTGTATAAATACTGAACCCTTGACAAAAACAATTTTCCAAAAAGCCTAGAAATGGTAACCATGACAGACTTTATAGATAGCTATGAAACAACACTGCTAAAGATAGCTAGCTAGCTTCAGAAAAAAATACCTATGCTTAAACCATTGAGAAACAAAACAAAGTAATACTCACCATAGCTTCAACATCAGCCCAAGTTGTATTTTCTGGATCAGATACCAGAAAGCTTTGAGTTTCATTTTTAAAAATCACATTTAGAGTAACCTGTGGTTCCATGCTCTGGTGCTAGCATTTAGAGGATGGGTAGGAAAGAGGGAAAAGAAGTTAGAAAAGCTTCTGTAAACTGCATTAACATTCATTCAACAAATATTTGTGAGGACCTAATATGGGCTAGACTTGGGACACACAGCAACGAATAAGGGAAATGTTATCCCTGCTCTTATGAAACTTGTCATCTAGTAGTTAGTTTAAACTAAATCTCACTGCTAAATAGTAATTGTTTTAAGAAATAAACACAGGGCCGCTGGGTGTGGTGGCTCATGCCTGTAATTCCAGCAATTTGGGAGGCTGAGGGGAGAGATTGCCTGAGCCCAGAGGTTGGAGACCAGCCTGGCCAACTTGGTGAGACCTTGTCTTTACAATAAATAAAAAAATTAGCAGGAAGTAGTGGCATGCACCTGTAGTTCCATCTACCTGGGAAGCTAAGGCAGAAGGACTGCCTAAGCCCAGGAGGTTAAGGCTGCAGTGAGCCACGATCCTACTACTGTACATCAGCCTGGGCAACAGAGTGAGACTCCCACTCACCAAAAAAAAAAAAAAAAAAAAAAAAAGGCTAAAACTATGCCATAGACTTATACTTAAGCCACAAAATTCTTAGTTATTAGGAACTTCCACATTAGAAGTAAAAGCATGCTGACAGTATTTCAATTTTGACCACACCCCAGATACAACCTAGCATTTGCACACTACTTGAAAGATTTTATGACACTTTATGATGATTGGTTAACTCCACAAATACTAACTAGTAGCAGGAGATAACAAGATGGGTAAAGCAGACACAGACTCTACGCTCAGGAATCTTATATTCTTTTACCACCTGAAAGTGACATTTTATGTTTCTCTTGGAGAAACAGCCTTTATTTTTTTAACCCAGAGTCTCACTGTGGCCTAAGTTGGAGTACAGTGGCAGGTTCACAGCCACAGCAGCCTCCACCTGCTGGGCTCAGGTGATCCTTCCACCTCAGCCTTCCAAGTAGCTGAAACCACAGATGTGTGCCACCATATCGTTAATTTTTTTTAAGTTGCCCAGGCTGGTCTCGAACCCCTGAGCTCAGGGGATTCTCTCAACCTCCACCTCCCAAAGTGCTGGAATTATAGGTGTGAGCCACCGTGCCGGGCACAGCTTTTTTTTCTTTTCTTTCTTTCTTTTTTTTTTTTTGAGTCAGAATTTCACTCTGTCGCCCATGCTGGAGTGCAGTGGCACACTCATGACCATTGCAGCTCAACCTGCAGGACTCAGGTGATTCTTCTGCCTAAGCCATCCAAACAGCTGGAACTACAGGCATGCAAGACCACGTCCAGCTAATTTTTTTTTAAATTGTAGAGATGAGGTCTCACCAAACTGCCCAGGATGGTCTCGAACCTCCGGACTCAGGCAATCCTCTTGCCTTCACCTTCCAAAGTGCTGGGATTACAAGCATGAGCCACTGTGCCTGGCTGAAACAGTCTTTTTCTAACATAAGAACCTAGGTTTTCTACTAGATCAATTTTAAGAAGTTAGAGGACAAAACACTAGCCAAGAAACCACACAGGGGTAGCATTCAATACCCTTCATCCTTCTACTAATTTTTTTTTAATGTGGTATTTCAAACATACATACAAGTGGAGAGTAATGAACACTAGTTACAACAATTAACTTAAGGCTCCCCTCATTTCATCTACTTCCCTGAATCTCCTCTTGCCCCAATACAGGACTGACCACAGACAGCTAATTTTTTTATTTTTTGAGTCAGAGTCTTGACTCTGTCACCCAGGTTGGAGTGCAGTGGCACACTCACAGCCACCACAGCCTCGACCTCCCGGGCTCAGGCAATCCTTCTGCCTCAGCCTTCTGAGTAGCTGAAACTACAGGTGCGAGCCACCATGCCTGGCTAATTTTTTGATTTATTGTACAGATGAGGTCTCGCCAAGTTGCCCAGGCTGGTTTCGAACCTGTGGGCTCAGGTAATCCTCTCACCTCGGCCTCCCAAGTGCTGGGATTATAGGCATGAGCCACAGCGCCCGGCCTACTGATGAATTATTTCCCTCACTTGGTTTGCTTCTGTGAAAAAAATAGCTTACTTTGAGATGAACAAATTAAATCTCAAGGATTTACAGTTTTGGGAGGAGAGTACACAAGGGGTAGCAAGGCTTGGATTTCAGATGCAGCTCTGGCCCATTAGTAGCCATATAACTGTGAGCAAGTCAGCTTACCTCTAAGCGTCAGCTCTTTATAAAATAGATCTAATATCTCTGCTTTGCCTATCTAACAATGTTATCATAAGAAACAAATCAAAATATGTGTGCAAGCTCTTTGAAAATGTTATTCAAATCTAAAAATAGCCAGGTACGGTGGGTCAAGCCTGGAATCGCAGCATTTTGCGAGGCTGAGAGGATTGCCTGAGCCCACCGGTTCAAGAACAGCCTGGGCAACTTGGTGAGACCTCATCTCCACAGTAAATAAGTAAAAAAAAAAAATTAGCTGTGCGTGGTAGCATGTGCCTGTAGTTCTGGCTACTTGGAAGGCTGAGGCGGAAGAATCGCCTGAGCCCAGCAGGTTGATGCTGGGGTGACTGTGAGTGTGCCACTGCACTCCAGCCTGGGCGATGGAGTGAGACTTCAGCTCAAAAAAACAACAACAACAAAACACAAATCTAGAAATTTTATTATAAAAAACCAGTCCTGGCCAGGCGTCCTCAGCCTGTAATCCCAGCACTTTGGGAGGCTGAGGCGAAAAGACTGCCTGAGCCCAGGGATTTGAGACTAGCCTGGGCAACTTGATGAAACCTCATCTCTACAGTAAATCACAAAAACTAGCCAGGTGTGGTAGCGTGCATCTGTAGTTCCAGCTACTTGGAAGGTTGAGGCGGAAGGATCACCTAAGCCCAGATGGTTGTGGCTGCGGTGGCCAGGAGCATGTCACCATACTCCAGCCTGGGCGACAAGAGTGAGACTCCAACTAAAAAATAAAATAAAAAATAAACCAGTCCTTAGAACTGTAAAACTACTGTTTTCCACTGTGACTCACTGCCCTGTGAAACAATATAACTGAGACTGTCAATTTAAGGACCTTGAACTCTCTCAAGGTCAGGGACTTTTTTCAACCCAAAGACAATTATCTCCCAATTTTCTCCATTCTCTGTCTCCACCTAGAGTCAAGGTCAGTACCAAAATAATACCAGTCTCTTTGCAAAAATTGTGATAAGAGACTGGTATTCATTCACATGAAATATAATTCTTGGGGTCCTTAAGATTTGTGCATAATCTTTGTGCAACTCCCCAGGTTCTTGGGTTAAAAAATCAGGGAAATAAAATGACAGTCTGCCAAAAGTGGATAGTCTGAAATACATTCTCACTTTCCAACTTCAAGAAACAACACACTTCTACACTCTTGAAGGAAAGTAATCTTCCTGTCCTTTTCTCAAATTACACAATTGAAAATTAATTTAGATACTCTGGAGCTCATCCAGCTGATCAGCCAGTGAAGAGAAAACAGGAAGTGGGAGATTCTAGCTTAGCTGGATCATATCCAGGTCTTCATAAAGAACGGACTCTCTCTTTTTGGCTGACATGTGAAAATTCTTTCAGCAAGAACATTTATCTTGAACTTGTGTAAATATCAATGCTATGGTTTTAGTTCCAACTGCCCCTTAAAACCAGTATATTCAGGTAGCTAGGCCGTAGCATTGTAAGCTCACACCAATGACTCACCTTTGCTTGGCAGAAGTCAGTTTTTCCCCTAGGTCGATTTCTTTTTGCAGCCTTAAAAAAAAAACCCTTTAATGAAACAGATATGACAACTGAACTCAATTACTGTCTCCACCAGAGGCCTTTACAAGTCAAGTTATCCAACCTTTAAAATGTGTGACCTGAAAGCTGGGTGCTTGATAAAAAGAAAAACGTTTCCAATACCGAAAGAGGATGGGATGAGGCGGATGTGCGGCTAGTGTCACATTTTACTTACAGATTTCATCCTAGTCTTCCAGCTATCGTTTCCTGGCACTCCATGTCCCCAAGACAATGTCACCAACCCCTGAGGACTCTTTTTTTTCTTTGCCTAGGCTCTTTGTACTGGGGAGTCCTGAGCTTCCATCAGCAGAAGCCGGGCGTTCTGAGACACTGACCCTCCATCTCTCCGGCGCTAATCACCCACTGGGTCCCTCAGAACACGAATGGCTCTCTCATTCGGTCACTAAAAAGATCCGCTGTCCCAGGACACAGAAAAAGTCGCCACTTTTCTTCAAGTAATTTCTCCCTTGAACTTCCCCCAACCCTCTTAATGCGACGAGACCTCACGCTTAGGTAACCGTAACTACTTCCTTACCAGTTTCCTGCCCCCGGAGGGCGCCTACCGGAGGCCAGCGCGAGGGCTGTTCGCTGCCAGCTCTGCGGCTATCCCTGCGGGGTGAATCTAACATGGCGGACAGAGACAGGGCCTAGTTCCCCAGGTCTCTGAATTTCCGACAAGATGATTGGCTTTTCCCCATTGTCCCTCAAAACGATCACCCCCATTTATTGGTCGAGTCTTCCCTGAAGGGGGCGGGGCAGAAGCAACCTGAACCCACACAACAATAACAAACATTGGAGCCGAGGGGCGGGACTAAGTGCGCAGGCGTGGGCCACCGCGGATTTCCCCTTCCCAGGCAAAAGCCCCTCCCTTTATTCCCCTCAGGTCACTGACCTTAGGACTATTTGTCCCAGACGCGTGGGGCTGGATGGGAATTGTAGTCTTCCTAGGACTTGTAAGTTCTTTAGCCTAGTCTCCGTTCTCAAGATACGAAAACATAACACCACTCCAATCCATAGCTGTTGAATGCATAACCGCGCCAAGGTTTTCAATCTGGCAACTGGGTTTCTGTGAGGATTGTGCCTGCTTCCGATAGCTGAAGCGGCTCTTCATAAGACTACAGTTTCCAAGGAACACTGGCCATTTCCTTTCGTTCCGTAATGCATGCTGGAAATCGTAGCCTCCCCCCAAGCCTTTTATTTATATAAACTGGAGGCTTCCATTGCGGCGGAAAGAATGAGGGAATAGGCCTTTTCTTACGACTGCTTAGGACACTATCTTGCACTCATATTCGGGCCACAGACAGTGATTCTGATCCTCGTACAGGAATTACTGTGACGTCATAAGCCGCCAATGGCTGCGTAGAGGCAGGGGGCGGACGCCTAAGAGAAAACTCTGGTAGAATTCCTCTTCTTCCGTCTCTTGCTGATTACGTCATGAGGAGAAAGACTGGATGACCAATCCAGAGCCTCGAGAGACTCGGGTCTTTCTTGCCGCCCCTTCCGCCAACGTATCTTGGTTTCGCATTCTGAGAGGCTATCTCTTAGAGGCCTCGGCCGGTTTCCGTGGCAACAGAAAAGCGCGGGAATCGTAGATAAATTGAAACTGCGGCTGCGTGGCGTGAGCTCGCTGAGGATTTCTGGACCAAGGACAGGCCGGGGGGCCTCTCAGGTAACTGGGCCCAGGAAGCCCGGACGGTTTGCTCTGGGTAAAGAGCCCCGGGGAAGGGAGAGAGGCCCGAGGGGTATGCCGGGGGACGGGCAGGAAACAGGTGTGGGGAGGGTGGATTCCTGAAGGAGCCCGAAGTGGGTATTTATTGACCTGAGGGGTGGAACCTGAGAGGCCTAAGACGTTGTGAACCTGGAAGAAGTCTTCGGGAGAGGGAAGGTTTGTGGGTCGCGGGGGGGGCACTGAGGATAAGGAAGGGGGAACATGGTGTGTCCGAGGAGAGTCCTGGTGAACTGGAATGTGGCTTTAGGGGACACCATGTGTGTAAGAAGAAGAGGGACAGGAATGTGTCTGGGAAGGGGCGGAGACAGGATTTTGTGGAAGGGAAAACCCTTAAGAACTGGATCCGTACACGCTTCTGAGAAGGGACAAGGGACAAGAAGGAAGTAGAGGAGCGTCTGTAGTAATAGATGAGCTGCGAGCAGGGATGTGCTTGAGGAGGATCCTGGGATGAGGGAGGTCAGGGAAAGGATAGGTGGGCAAGCCTTGGTTGGCGTTGATTTTGGCTTTAAGCAAGAAAAAACAGCCAAGATATTGGAGAAAGCTGAAGCTGCCACCACCCACTTGGTCAGTCACTCCAGTGGCTTTCCCTTTCTTGGAGAAAGTAAAAGAACAAAGGAAGGAGTTCTATGTGGAAAGAAGTAGAGAATTCAAATTGTCTAAGTACAAAGAGCCGTTCCTAGAATCTTTAAAAATAAAGGCTTCCAGCCGGGCTCAATGACTCAGCCTGTAATCCCGCGCTTTGAGAGGCTGAGGTGAGTGGATTGCCAGAGCCCGCGGGTTCGAGACCCGCCTGGGCAACTTGGTGAGACCTCATCTCTACAATAAATCAAAAAACAATTAGCCGGGCGTGGTAACGCGCGCCTGTAGTTCCGGCTACTCAGAAGGCTGAGGCGGAAGGATCGCCGGAGCCCAGCAGGTCGAGGCTGCGGTGGCCGGGAGCGGCCACTGCACTCCAGTCTGGGCGACAGAGTGAGACTCCAACTCAAATAAAAAATAAAAATAAAGGCTTCCGCCAGGCGCGGTGTTCACGCCTGTAATCTCAGCACTTTGGAAGGCAGAGGCATAGGATTGCCTGAGGCCAGGGGTTCAAGATCAGCCTGGGCAACTTGGTAAGACCTCTTGTCTAAAGTAAAATCAAGAAAAATTAGCCAGGCGCGGTGGCACGTGCCTGTAGTTCCAGCTATTTGGGAGGTGGAGGCAGAGGGGGAAGGATCTCCTGAGCCCAGCAGGTTGAGGTGCAGTGTCCCTGAGTGTGCCACTCTACTCCAGCTTGGGCTAGAGAGTGAGACTCCAACTCAAAAAGCATAATAATAAAAAAAATAAATAAAGGCGTTTGTCATTAGCTCTATGGTCCGTGTAATTCTAAAACACTCCAATCATAAATCTCTCACATTTAAAAATGATGCGGCCGGGCTCGGTGGCTCAGCCTGTAATCCCAGCGCTTTGGGGGGCCAAGTGAATTGCCTGAGCCTGCGGGTTCGATACCCGCCCGGGCAACTTGGCGAGACCTTGTCTGTACAATAAATCAAAAATGAGCCGGGCATGGTAGCGCACACCTGTAGTTCCAGTACTTGGAAGGCTGAGGCGGAAGGATCGCCGGAGCCCAGCAGGTCGAGGCTGCAGCAGTCAGGAGCGGCCACTGCACTCCAGTCTGGGCAACAGAGTGAGACTCCAACTCAAAAAATAAATAAATAAATAAAATAAAAATGATCCTTGGCTGGACACAGTGGCTTACACCTGTAATCCCTACACTTTGGGAGGCCCAGACAGGATTATAGCTTGAGCCCAGGAGTTTGAGAACAGATTGGTGGGCAACATAGTGAGACCTCATCTCTATAATAAAAAAGAAAAAAGTGCCAATAAAATTAAGCTATCTTTTTTTTTTTTTTAAGTACGGAGGTCTCACTCTGTCACCCAGACTGAAGGGCAATGGCACCCTCCTGGCTACCACAGCCTCGACCTGCTGGCTAGGTGATCCTTCCGCCTCAGCTTTCCAAGTAGCTGGAACTACAGGCACATGCCACCACACCTGGCTAATTTTTTGATTTATTGTAGGGATGAGGTCTCATCAAGTTGCCCAGGCTGGTCTCGAACCCGTGGGTTCAGGCAGTCCTCTCACCTTGTCCTCCCAAAGTGCTGGGATTATAGACATAAGTCACCACGCCCAGCCTAAATTAAGCTGTCTTTTTGAAAAGTGGCTTACATGTATATTTTTAATGTGTTAAAGTTCATTGGAACAGAAAGAAATGGACCTATCTGCAGTTCATGTTGATGAAGTACAAAATGTTCTTAATGCTATGCAGAAAATCTTGGAATGTCCAATCTGGTAAGTCAACAGAAGAATTTACTAATTTCAGAGTCTTCCTTATATGATTATCTTATATGCAAATTAATAGACTTGACCTTACATAATAGAAAAAATATAGTAAGTCTATTAAGATGAGGCTGTTAGAGTTGCAGCTTTTCTTAACTGAAGACCTTAAAAAGATAAGAAATTACTCCTTTGTCTCCACGTTACCTCTCTTCCTTCCACTCTATGTCTTAATGAATACAGCCGCATACTGTCTTGATTGGTTCTGTATTGGAGCAGGAACCTGGTTCAGATTAAGTGACATTTAGGCTTTCCTCTTCCCAGCTCTAAAACCAGCTAGATCACTTGGAATGGCAAAATAAAATCACGAATGATTAGTGTCTATGAGGGGACTAGTCTAGAAAAACCTTTGTCTGAAACCGGCCCTGCACATTTATATAAAAATATGGCAAGTCATCAAAACCTTAGCAAGACTGACTCTTTGAGTAACCTGTTTTCTTCATCTATAAAATGAAGAGGAGACTGGACTATTCAAATAAAATTTTTTTGAATTGAGGTATCATTTACATACAATGAAATTCAGAGATCGTAAATGTGCAAGTGAATGAGTTTTGGCAAATATGTGTGTGTGTGCATGTGTATATGTGTGACCCACTTCCCAATTGAGATATAGAACATTTCCATTATCCCAGAATGTTCTCTTGTGTGTATTTAAGAGTTCTTTACTTGCAGACCCTCCAGAACCCGTGGAGGCCTATAGATAAAACTATATTTCAATATAATTAGTTTTGGAATTTTTTTGTTGTTGTTTTTGAATCAGAGTCTCACTTTTTCTTTTTTTGGTTGTTTTTGAGTCTGAGTCTCATTCTGTTGCCCAGGCTGAAGTGCGGTGGCACACTCACAGCCTCTGCAGCCTTGACCTGCCGGGCTTAGGCGACCCTTCCTCCTCAACCTTCCAAGTAGCTGGAACTACAGGCACACACCACCACATCTGGGTAATTTTTTTATTTACTGTAGAAAAGAGGTCTCGTTAAGTTGCCCAGGCTGGTCTCAAACCCATGGGCTTAGGCAGTCCTCTCGCCTCACCCTCCCAAAGTGCTGGGATTACCAGCATGAGCCACCACTCCCGCCGGAGTCTCACTTTTTCACCCACGCTGGAGTGCAATAGCATGATCATGGCTGCTGCAGCCTCGACCTGCTGGGCTCAGGCAATCCTGCTGCCTCAGCCTCCCAAAGTGATGGGATTACAGGTGTGAGCCTCTGCCCCTGACTTTATAATTAGTTTTTTTGTGAAATTTTTAATTTTTTGCATTTAAGAGAAAGGGGGTTTGTGGCACAACATAGGTTAAGAACCCCAAGCAGTTATTAGATGACCTCTAACATTTCTCTTAAATCTACAAAAGAAATGAAAAATCAAGCCGGGCTCGGTGACTCAGCCTATAATCCCGCACCTTTGGGAGACTGAGGTGAGTGGATCGCCTAAGCCCGCGGGTTCAAGACCCATCTGGGCAACTTGGCGAGACCTCATCTCTACAATAAATCAAAAAAACAGCCGGGCGTGGTAGCGCGCGCCTGTAGTACTAGCTACTTGGAAGGCTGAGGCGGAAGGATCGCTGGAGCCCAGCAGGTTGAGGCTGCTGTGTCCGGGAGCGGCCACTGCACTCCAGTCTGGGCGACAGAGTGAGACTCCAACTCAAAAAAAAAAAAGAAATGAAAAATCATACATCAGAATCTCTTGGTGAAAAGCCAAAAAGGAGAATTAGAAGAATTGTTTCTTATCATCTTCCTTCTTACTCGTTACTCTTATTCTCTACTTATTCTCATTCTGGCCTTTTAAACTTTTCTTCACACATGTGACATAGTCTCCTGCCTCTGAGCTGTGACACTTGCTGTTCCTTCTGCGTAGAATATTATTCCCCTGATAATGGTATAGCTTGAAAATCTTGATTAAACTACCACCTTTTCAAAGAAGCATTTCCAGATAGCACTATTTAAAATTGTAACACCTGGCCAGGCTCAGTGGCTCAGCCTGTAATCCCAGTGCTTTGGGAGGCCGAGGTGAGTGGATTGCCTGAGCCTGTGGGTTCGAGACCCGTCTGGGCAACTTGGCGAGACCTCATCTCTACAGTAAATCAAAAAATTAGCCGGGCGTGGTAGCGCGCGCCTGTAGTTCCAGCTACTTGGAAGGATCGCTGGAAGGATCGCTGGAGCCCAGCAGGATGAGGCTGCAGTGGCCGGGAGCGGCCACTGCACTCCAGTCGGGTGACAGAGTGAGACTCCAACTCAAAAAAAATAAAAATAAAAAATAAAAATGTAACACCCTCAACACATTCCTGATCCCCCTTTCTTGCTTTGTTTTTCTCCATAACACTTACTACTATGTGATTATCCTATATAATTTATTCATCCTTGATCTCTACTCCCTCAGAACATTAACTCCTTGGTGGCAGAGGTTTTTTGTTTTATTTGTGTACTTCTGTATCTTCAGTAGTTGGAATAGTACTCAGGACATAGGAGCCACTCAGTAAACTATTTTTTTTTTTTTTTTTAGTTGGAGTCTCACTCTGTCACCCAGACTGGAGTGCAGTGGCCGCTCCCAGCCACCGCAGCCTTGACCTACTGGGGCTCCGGCGATCCTTCCGCCTCAGCCTTCCAAGTAGCTGGAACTACAGGCGCGCGCTACCATGCCCGGCTAATTTTTTTTTGATTTATTGTAGAGATGAGGTCTCACCAAGTTGCCCAGGCGGGTCTCGAACCCGTGGGCTCAGGCAATCCACTCACCTCAGCCTCCCAAAGCACAGGATTACAGGCTGAGCCACTAGCCTGGCAACATTTTTGAAATGAATTTAATAATAAACTAAATTGGTTCTTTGATAGGTCAGTATTTATTTATTTTTATTTGGTTTTTTTTTTTTTTGAGGAGTGTCTGTCGCCCAGACTGGAGTGCAGCAGCACTCTCACAGCCACCGCAGCCCCAACCTGCTGGGCTCAGGCAATCCTTCCACCTCAGCTTTCCAAGTAGCTGGAACTGCAGGCATACGCTACCTGATTGATTTATTGTAGAGATGTGGTCTCACCAAGTTGTTTGGGCTGGGTCTGGAACCCGTGAGCTCAGTCAATCCTCTCACCTCAGCCTCCCAAAGTTCTGGATTACCTCCCAAAGGTGACTACAGGTGAGCTACCACACCTGACCTGGATTAGTATATATTTTTAATGTGATGGTTAGTGGTAGATAATATTCAAAAATAAATTGAGGCTGGGCACAGTGGCTGACACCTGTAATCAAATCTCCTCTGGGAAGTAGAGGCAAGAGGATTACCTGAGTCCAGGGGTTCAAGACCTGCCTGGGCAACTTGCCAAAACCTCATCTCTACAATAAATCAAAAAATTATCTGGGCATGGTGGTGTGTGCTTGTAGTTCCAGCTACTTGGAAAGCTGAGATGGATCAGCTGAGCCAAGCAGGTCGTGGTTGTGCCACTGTACTGCAGCCTGGGTGACAGTGAGACTCCAACTCAAAAAAAAAAAAAGAATGATAACAAAAAATAAATTGAAAAGTTGCAGCTGGGCTTGGTGGCTCAGCCTGTAATCCCACGCTTTGGGAAGCTGAGTGAGTAGATTGCCTGAGCCCGTGGGTTCATGACCAACCTGGGCAACTTGGCGAGACCTCGTCTCTACAATAAATCAAAAAAATTAGCCAGGTGTGGTAGCACGTGTCTGCAGTTCCACTACTTGGAAGGCTGAGACGGAGGGATCGCTGGAGCCCAGCAGGTCAAGGCTGCAGTGGCCGGGAGCGTGCCACTGTACTCCAGACTGGGTGACAGAGTGAGACCCCAACTCAAAAAAAAAAAAGAAAAGAAAACTTGCATCTGTTACCCTTTACCCTCAACAAAAGAGGATACATTCAGGTAAATTTTCCTTTGTGTTTCATGAAAGCTGTTTTTCATATTTAGAGTCTAGTTAATAAGATTAAGGAAAATGCAAGCTATGTTTTCTTTCTCTCTTTTTTTTAAAGCAGGATTTATTGAGAGGACAGAAGAAAAGCTCCCACAATGGAAGGGGAATCAAAGGGGTTGCCCCCAAGCTATGTTTTCAAAGAGAGAAAAGATTTATAAATAACCATCCTCTTCTTTACCCCTCAACATTTTAGCTAAACAAAAATAAGAGCAAGATTTGATTTGCATCGTAAGTTATGAAATGTCAGAGCCAGGGAAGCAGGAAATGACATTGTTGGAAAATATTGCTTTTGAAAAAAACACAAAATTTTTGATAACTTTAGTGATCCAAAAAGTCCTCAGTAATGTGGCATTTGGGTCCATTTATTTTTACATGTCCATAGAATAGTCATAAAAATATATGTTCTTTCTCATTCTGGCAAATTAAGCTCCCAATTAGAAGAGAACCTAGATACATAAAAATTAAAGATACAAGGATGAAAGTTAATGTAAGTTTTTTTTTTTTTTTTTTTTAGCCATTTGTACATTTTCTAGCTTCTTGCTTTTTCCTGCTAGAAATAGATTAATTTTGAATAGTTTTTTTAGACTCGTCTATGTGGAAAGTTCTAGGATGGGAATCATACCTACTTCACTTATTTTTACAGTGCTCAGAATAGCAGTTTGTTGTTCTGTCTTAATAATAGGTGTTTCCTAATCATGACTGGAAACAGTGTTACTTCTGATAGCTATAGGGTAAGTTTTCAGCCTCTTTTAGGTCTCTTGAACTGAAATTCCTTCTGCTGGCTTCTAAGTCACAATTGGCAGTTATTTCTGCATACAATTTTTTTTGTTTTTTGAGTCAGAGTCTCACTTTGTTGCCCAGGCTGGAGTGCAGTGGCACGCTCACAGCCACTGCAGCCTCCACCTGCTAGGCTCAGGCGATCCTTCTGCCTCAGCCTTCCAAGTAGCTGGAACTACAGGTGCACACTACCATGCTCAGCTTATTTTTTGATTTATTGTGGAGACAAGATCTTGCCAAGTTGCCCAGGCTGGTCTTGAACCTCTGAGCTCAGGCAATCCTC